AGGAAATGAAACAAAAAATGTCACACACTCAATGTACTAAGTTTTAGGCGATGTTGAAACCTTCGACATTCCCAGTGCAGATTACACACCACATTCCTGAGCTAGGATACCTCATCTAAGCATTAGATACTGAGGCTTTTTATGGCACTATGAAACAGTATACTTGTACACTACCAGAACATTTTTCATAAAACACATTCTTCCTCATGAAACTTCTTGTTGACATTTTTAAAAATACTGGATTGTTCTTTTTCATTTTAAAAATGTATTTCATTTCAAAGAACTTTCAAAGAGTGTGAACTCTGAGGTCCTCATGGTGGGGAATGTTAAGATTATGGTCTTTTGGGATGTGACATAATATAGTTTAGTAAACAGGTACTGATGTTTCACAAAAACCAATTTACTCCATCTTCAGGATAGAAATACAGACAGCATATTCTTCTGAAATATTCATATATACCTACCAACACACAGAGTGGGCACTTCCAAAAGACCATAATCCTAACTTCAAGAGTGTTTCCCCATTACCTGCCATTATCAATGACAAGACTTTTGCAGAAAAAGACACTGCCTGCTAACACTAAGGGTTCATGCTCCTACACCCTATACCATGATATGAAAACTACTGGCTGAGTTATATATTGTTACTGAAAATAGTGTTAAAGCCCATTCCTTTGATATGAGGCTCAGACAGTGCCATCTGTTCTTCTCTGCTGCACTATAACTTAATAAGTACAAATCTTATTACTTCAAAAGGAAATAACAGTACGTGCTATACTATAATTTTATGAAACTTCAATCAACAGATTTTTGTGTCACTGCATCTGAAAAATGAATATGCATTTTTCAGCATGCTACAATGAAAATATGCTCAGCTATGCATCATGTTTCCATCCTTGCCTATCATCATCTTTTCACTTTGATCTTTGTACTGTACTGCTACATACCACACTCAGGGCAGTAGCCCTTTTTTACGGTTCCTTTTTTTAAAATATTGTCACGTGTTGGGTGTATAACGTGACAAATAACTTCATGCCGTATTGAATATAGTGAATTTTATTGCACATTCGCTCTTATAATCACACAATTTACAGATTCACAACTACTGCTATCTGCAGCATTACAATTACTTGACTGCATACTCTTCCCTGGCCAACTCGTAACTAACTCTTGAATAGTCTTCGCTGCTCCTTATTTAGCCCCGTTACGGACAACACAGAAAACAGTTACGCAATAGGCACCACTGTTGTCTGACACCGTGTTTGCTGACAGCCTAGCAACGCTGTCTGGAGTTGTTTACTGCTGAGTAGCAACTGTGGCGTCCTGTGTAATGCAATGGATACCGCTGTTTACTCGATTTGCCTAGCAACCGCTGTTTACTCGCTTTGTTTAGCAACCGGTGTTTACTCGCTTTGCATAGTGACCAGCGTGCTTGGACTCGGCTCACTTCGGCTCCACTCGGCATGTCACGGCTGGCGGGGGGGTGGGGGGGCATCATCCATAGTGCAACACGTCACAATATCTTTCCCTCTGTAATGACTTCCAACCACTCATTAAGCATCACTTGCCAGCCCTATAGGCAAGTAGTTATTTTCCAAACAGTTTCTGAGATAGAGCTATTTCACTGTACAATTCCAAAATGTTGATCAGAAAGAGATATTATGTAATGCTTCTAATATCAATATTTGTTGTTCAAGTGACAAAGTTGGTACAGTTTACCTAGTATAAAACATTTTTTAAAATTTCATTGTCAACATCAATGAACTTTGGAGGTCGTGTGAGGACATGGCATATTGCTCATCTGTACAGTATACAGTGCACTGTACAGTGAAATAGCTCAATATCAGACCTTCCAGAATATTAATCTTTCCTCATGGGACATGCAGTATAGATCATTCCCCAACCCCCCAAAAAATGGGGGGGGGAGAGCATTGATAGGTAAAAGTTGGTTGAAGGATGTCTCAGTAATTAAACATAATTAGGTACATATCTCAGTAATATGGCCACCCTGGTATTCACTTACACCACAGTCTGTTTCCCATTAGACAGCAAAATTGAAATTAAGGAAGGCTGACTTCAAAACAAGTGTTTTATTCTGGAAATAATGCATATTTTTTTAAAAACAACTTACATCTTAGCAACTAAAGTCCAACTTTAGTCCAAAGCTACAACAATTTTATAACAATGAATTACATAAGAATTAAAAGTATTTTAAAAAATATTCAGAAATAGTAATTATCATAACTGAAACATTTTACTTCATTATTATAGTAATTTAAACTTCTATGTGAAATGGATAGAGATTAAATACAGCTGTTTAATATACATATGTTCCACTCCACAGTGCATTTGCAAGGCAATACAACTGTACTAGTGCAATAGACACTAAAAGAACAAGCCAAATGAAAGACTGTGGAACATTCCCATCCTTAGAGAAAATGACTGAACTCATTTTGTTTTTACATAAATCCACCTTCATTTCATGTCAAGAGATGTTCAATAAGTTACTTACCAGAATAAGAATGTGAGAAATGACAAGTCTGTGCACAGTATAACAAGTAACGACATTTTTATGAATGCACCCGCCTACTGCCAACTGTATTCAGAGTCATAACAAGTTATTTACAAGTTATATATATCTGAGTCAGTAACATGAATTCAGCTTAAGTTGAATACAATGAGTAACTACAATTCACATGCACTCACATGTGTGCACACATGCATACACACATACACAAGAACAAAGGCGAATTTTCACACAGAGTTATGATTGTGTGCCTAAAATTTAGAGGGAGTCTTTGTTTCCTTTATACTAAAAGATCCTGGGGCAAGCACCTCAAATGGGAAAAGAGTTGTGGGGCTCTTGTCAACGTGTGTAGTCTTTGTCATTACTCCGATGACAACCCACTTCTTCGGAACAGTTTGTTGGCCCTGAAAAGGACCGTGGCTGCTGAGATGATTGACCGGTGAGGTAGCGCGGCGCGCGCCGGTAAGGAGAAAGGCTAGTAAAAGGCGAGTGGCCTGGCCGCAGTGCGGCCGTGGCTGGAGATTGCTTGGTTGCCGTGCGGCAGCGTGAGTTGGAGGTTGCTTGATCGCAGTGCGGCAAATGGCGGAGGTTGCTGCTGGTGAAAAGGCTAGTCGTTGAGCGCGGTCGTAGGAGCCATGAGGCAGTGGCTATGCCAGATGCCCAGTGAGTCAGACCGTAACACGACCACCGGTGAGTCCAGGCGCGGTGCCCCAGTGAGTCGGGTGTGAGAGCGCCGGAGGGCCGAGGCAGTCGTGCCCGGCGCAGCCTGCCGATGTCTCCGAAGACCGAGCGCTGGCGACGAAGCCTGCTGGCTGAAGTTGCTTGATGTGGCTAGCTCGTAGGCTGATGATGAGCTGCGTTGAACTGAACTGAACTGAATAACTCGGCTCTGGAGTCGCTCCTTTTTATACGCTGGTCGGTGGGGCGGAGCCAAACTCGAAAGTGAGGAGGAAGAATTGATTGGCTAGAGCGCGTAATGACGTAGATGTGGGCCAGGAGCGATCCCAGTATAAATATGAACGTTTGAAGCAATCAGATTGGTTAGTGCGCGTGATGGTGAAAAGCGATGTGAAGAGCGAGCGTTGCAGAAATGCGTGATAATGTGGGATGTTCCCACAGAGTAAACAGAAAATTGCCAAAGTGCTGGGAACCCTAACTCTAACCATGAAATACGTGAGAGTATAGGCTATGATAATCAGAAGTCGCTGCATTTAGGCCTTCATTTTACTTCATGAACTGGGGATTTCTATGGGTAAAAGTTTGCACATCCACAAGGAACTTACATATGCTTACATCAGTTCATGTTGGACATTCACAATGATGAATCCAGATAAGAGACACCAATTCTAAACTTCAAACAAAGATTCGGAGCTTTTTAAACAGAATTCTGGCACATAGTCTTCTAGAGGCAGTAAAAAGTGCATCTGCTGTCTATCCTAGTACTTCTTGTTGTCAATACCTTATACCCTACAGTCAGTGAGTGTAGATTTCTAAACTTATTATAGTAAATGCTATTTGTAGTGTGATAAATATGTGGAGTATCTGTATGTACGTGTATGTATGTATGTGTAAGGAATTGAAATACATTACCTCATTTATATCAAGTGGCCTAAAACAGGATTTAAGAGCCAAATAATGACTCAAGCCCTTTATGAATAAGTGGATACAAAGACAGGACACAATTTGTCTTCCTTACGTGTGTTCAAGCATACACTGGATCTGAAGCCTATAATGTGTCATTATTTATATATGTGAAAACGTGTAAATTATTCTAAAAATACACAAGATATACATTTATGAAATTATAAAATTTTGTATTCTATATGATATAGTAAAGACACGTTATCATTTGCAGCATTTAAGAGCTTGATGTACTAAAAAGAAAATTTATCTGAAACAACACTAACTTCAGATAGTTTCAAAACAAGTTCTTTTAAATGATTTTTTTTTTTTACAAATTGATGGTGTACACGTACTAACACTGGTATTATTATTTGCAGTAGTACAATTGGCAATTTAAATATGATTGAAACACTTGTATTCTCATAGATGGGAATCAATTATCCTACAGAATATCAATATGAATCTGGATAGACTATAAAGTGTTTGGTGTTGTAACTGAATAACAACATATAAATTTACACTAGAAATCTGTATTTGAGCAACAGAGACACTTGTGCTTATGGGTGCATCATACAGATAAAGAGAGTAAAGAACTAGAGACAAGAAAGCTGTATACAGCTATTATAGTTCAAATAACTGTATGAACCACAATCCTACAATGTGAATGCAGTGCAGTGGAATGACAAAAGAAATTTTCTTATTCATCCCTTATAGATTACAGAGGGGTTGAATGTCTACTTAATTAAAAAACTAAGACAAACCCCACATGAAATCAAATACAATCATTTATGAGCTTATAACAAGGTACAGTGATGCACAACACAGATATACTTAAAAGCACATACCGTACCTGGTACTGCAAGCATCAATGGTCAGCACAGAAATAACAGAATATTACAATTAAATTCTGAATTATATCTTTCATATTAATGACACCACTGGAAAAGGTGTAATCCATAATGTTGCACACAAAATTTCCAGCAGCATTTTTCCACTCTAATAAGCTTACCTGCACTCTGTTTATAAAATATTTATGATACCCATAGTGATGAATGAATGTGTGAATGTAAGATTTGAGGCTTTCACGGCGGTGACTATGAAGAAAGCAGTCTTCTGGGATTTGGCACCGTGTATATGTGGTGTTAACTGACGTTTCGGAGGAACGTATTGCCCCCATAACCCTGAAGATGGGGGCGATACGTTCCTCCGAAACGTCGGTTAATACCACATATACACGGTGCCAAATCCCAGAAGACTGCTTTCTTCACTGTGTGAATGTTATGTTATGTTTGATGTCAGGTTGTTGATATCTGACATGTCCAATTGTAATTCTCTACAGCCATGGATGAAATAAATAATAATGATAATGATTTTATGATATACAAAAGAAAGCCCATGTATGACCTTAAGTAGAATGGATTTAATTCAGGGTAAACATGGCAATCTGTCTAATTATTCAGGTGCTGCTATTAGGTCACAGGCTGATTGGTAGATGGTCAGACACAACCACTGACAAGTTTATGCAAGCACCCCCCCATATAAAATTGTATCCAAATTAGTCCAATGGTTCAGAGTTATGACATGCCATAGCAAAAAATTCCATCTGTTTAATTATCTTAAAAATGGTAAGAATTATGGTTGAAGTGTGTCTGCCCTAAAATGTATTCTTCAATATTATATTTAAGCATCCTGTTACACTCACACAATATATACGAGACAAACTCTGTCTTAAGTGCAACAATTTAATTGTAGTTCTTTCTTCTTCCCTTCCTCCACACTACATGTTTCGGCCCTAAATGGCCGTCATCAGGTGTGTATTCTTACGTAGCTGCTACACTGCCCATTGTTTAAAATTTAAAATCACCAGTCTTTCCAATTGTATGTATGTATAAAATCTTTGTTAACCTAAACGCGTCAATTTGATTTCTAAAATTGGCACTTTTTCTTTTTCAACTTCAATTCAAATTAAAATGTCTATAAATTTTCTGTTCTTTTTCTTTTTCCAAATTTTAAAAATTAAAATTTTCTCGGGA